AGAGCTCAACAAATTATGAAGAAACGAGCGGATGGGCATAGGAAAGACATCCAGTTTGAAGCAGGGGAGAAGGTGTTCTTGAAGTTCCGACCATATAGGCAGAGGACAGTCGCCAACAGGAGGAATGAAAAGCTGGCTCCAATGTATTATGAGCCTTATGAAGTGTTGGAGAAGATTGGGGCAGTGACATATCGACTAAAATTACCACCATCGGCAATGATACATCCAGTTTTTCATGTATTGCAGTTGAGGAAGGCCATTGGTGACTACACAGCCAACCTCGAGCTACTTGCGATGCATACTGAGGATTTAGAGGTTGTTCTGGAACCCTTAGAGCTGATGGGAATGCGCTAGAAAGAAGATGGAACTAAGGAAGTGTTGATCAAGTGGAAGAACCTCCCTGACTTCGAGGCCACGTGGGAGCCATGCGAGAGGACGAAACAACGATTTCCGGGTTTTCACCTTGAGGACAAGGTGGTTCTTTGGGAGGGCAGTAGTGTTATGCCCGTTCTGGCTGAACCGGCCCAGCCGGCCATGGGGCCACTTCGGTTCAGCAAGTGTACACCCGCCTCCTCCTTCCCTTTTCCGCAATTTGGGTGGGTCCCATCCAGAAAAACAATTTCAAAAGGGAAAAGGGTGGGGCGGCTTAGGCTTTGGGAGGGAAAATTAATTAGGAAATCTTTTGTATTAGAGGGAATTAGAGAGTTTTCATGTTTTGATTGATTGAGAAATTAGGGTTCTTATTGCTTGGCCGCTTGGGCTCTAGACTCTTGTCTAGAGATTTTGGGAGAGACGATCCTCCTCTCAAATTGAGGATCTCTTGTATCTTGCTTGGTGCTTGTTCCTTTTGCTTTCTATAAAAATTTTGCTATCATGTGCTTGCTTTTCTATGACGTTTTCACGTTTTTCTTGCTGATTTTATTGATTTTGGTTAGGGTTGCTTGCGAACTCAAGTAGATCCGATAGGATTACTTGCGAACTCAAGTATTTCCTATCAAAATTTTATTCTTAGTTATGATGTTTGAACGAGTAGGTGAGCCTAATGCTGCTTTTATGTAAATTAAATGTTTTTTTAAAGTGGATTAAGGACTATCATTTGGACTCTTAAGTTTCCAATTTACTGTATTGGGATTTTCCATTGATTCTTGGATACAGATTAGACATCTGAGACCGTAGGAATATCTCCAACCCTTGTGTTTAGGGTGAGGCATGGTTTCCGTTGGTGCATCCTTGGTTGCTATAAGAATGGACATAGGAAGAAAATAAAGTTCTCCTTTAAAAATGTCTAATTAGTATCTTTTATTATTTTAGAAGTTCCATCTGCATGCCAGACTAGTTTTGGTTGACTTTATGAATCATTCTTATCCATTTATTTCAATTGAGCGCTACATTAAAATTAACTCTATTTACTTAGTTTTTGCATAGCTATTAACCATATTTTTTTTAGCATTGTTGCGTGCACGAACATTCGTGGAAGTAGAGGGAGATATAGTTTAATGTTTAAACTTTGTATGAAGATCCAGCACACAGATATGTACTAGAGGAGTGCAAGAATTGTAAGAGACGTCAAATTTTTTACTTGAAGAACCTACGTAAGGAAATAAATCATAGGGCCTGGCCTAGTAAAAATAATTCCACTATTGTTTGTATTTGATTTGACGTGATGCTCTTCTTTAAAGGGAGGCATATCTACATGTTACATTATTGAAGTTGGAAGAGCCTTCGTTTAGAAATCCAACATAAAACTTATTGCTAAGTTGGGGGTCGAAGTTGATGTTAATAGTGTGCATCGATTTTATAAGTGACGATTTACGTTGGCATTATTCGTGATGGTAGGTGGTGAAGTTAATAGGTGTTAAAGTGGCTAGAAGTTATTGGTTAGGAGATTGATTGGTAGATGGAGGACTGTAGACGGGCGATGGTGGTCGGAAGATTGTAGTTTAACAATGTTGGTTGGAGGATCATAATTGTCGGGCGATGGATATCGAATGACTATAGTCAGGCAACAGTGGTCGGAGGATCATAGTCAGTTGGTGATGGAGGTCGAAGAATCGTAATTGGGAGACAGAGGTCGGAGGACTGCAGTAAGTGAACGATTGAAGTCGAAGGACCGTAGCCAGGCAACTGTGGTATGATTGTTGTAATTGGGTGATGGTGATTCGAGAATCATAGTCGATGGACAACAAAGGCCCGGAAGGATCGTAGTCAGGAGATGGTGGATAGAGGATTACATTTAGTATATGACAAATGTTGAAGGACCGTAGTCTGACGATGATGTCCGAGGATAGTAGTTGGCGAACAACAATGGTTAGAGGATAGTAGTCCGTAGGAGATGGAGGTTATAAGGACTATAGTCGGCGGGGACGAAGGTAGGAAGGAAGGTAGTTGGGTGATAGTGGCTTGAGGGCCATTGTCTGTGAGGGCTATCCGAGGAACGTGGTGGTTGGCCAACGAAGGCTTGACGATGATGATCGGGTGTGGTGCTCTGGTTGTGCTTCGAGATCCTTTGATCCTCAATGCTCTTATGAATCCAAAGAGAGAGTTTAGGCCCAAACTACAAGCTCCTCCCTTCAAAGCCCCCCCTTCAGGTAGAGAGTGGAGGCCTATTTATAAATTTTTTGGAGTGACATGCCCATTAATATGGAGAAAATTTGGAACACTCCATCGGGACGATCCATATTGATTCCCTTAATCATAAAGTGTTTGTTCAACATATAAGTGATTAATGACATCGGAAGTAAGCAATCTTGGGATCGTTGGATTCCTCTTGTCAAGTTGCTCGATTTGACTATAAACATGCCAAATTTGAGAATCATTTGATCATCAAATTAATATCCTCTAGTTTTCAATTATGCTTCAAGCCCTTGATTCAGGCTCGGATTGAACCATTTTTAGTCGTTGGGTTTATCTCGTCGAGACGCTTAGTTCAATTATAAATTTGTTGAAATCGGAGTTCGGATGATCTTGAATTTAATTTTGAAAGTTTCCAATTCAAATGTCTTAAAATTTGTTCTCGATTAAGGCAATTTCTGACGAGGTATCAAGTATACTTTTTGTTTTATTTCTAATATTTTCATATTAATTCTACTTTCAAGGCTTATTATGGCTTCTTTTCCCTGTCGTATAAGTTTAAACTACGTGCTAAGTTTCCACTATATTATCTTTAATAGCAGGCACTTATCTTATCTACTTTCCACGCCCTGCCTGAATTTGATTGAAGTGACTGTTGAGTCTGAATTCGAAATGTTACCTTCGGAGTAAATATTTAATCCAAGTTATAGTTTATCTTGATGGATTCGTCATGTGAACCCAAGTTACAATCTGAAATTCCATTTGAATTAATTTTTTTTGTACTAAATAATTGTTTTAGAAAGCAATGAGAAAGCTATCCTAAACGAAACATTGGGAGGACTTTCTTACTGCTTCTTAAAGTAGCTTTCTAGTACAAAATATTAATTTTTGTACTAAAATGCCACTTTAAGAAGCAGTAAGAAAGCCGTCCCAAACAAAGCCTCAGTCTTGAACTATATAGCTGCTTTCTATAACTGCAGCACTTTACTGGTTTTCCTTTTGAGTAGAACAAATGAAGGTTTTTGCCAAACTTAGGAGAAAGGTAAAAAATAAAATATTTGAATTAAATCATTTCTGTGATTTTCATGCATTGGAAATTTGAGTTACCATAAGAATACTAATAAGAACCTAAGATTACATGTGTCCAAGATCATGAAATTCCAGATGCAATATATTTATAAACTCTTTTATGGCTAGTAGTTCTAGCTCTTAGGAGGCCAGTGATTGCTGAAGTTGAGGGAATCAGGCTGTTCTATCCCGACTTTTGACCTTAATTCGTCTGTCCAATTTCAGGATCGGTTTGATGGCTGTTTCAGTTATAAGAGGGGGCGACCAAGTTTTCAAAGCTTCAGCTTCTCATCAAACATTAATGAAACTCTCCACTTGAATGTTTTTTCTTTTTTTTTTTCTTTTTTCTTTTTGGTTCAGAACATATAACGGTTCATATACACACATTTTAGCCATGAGAGTGATGATGAGTGGAACCTTGGAGGGGCTAATATGTAGGGGCTGTTTGGCAAAAAATAAGATTCAGTACTAAATCCTGTAAATTAGGGTTTAGTAAATCCTGAGTATGTTAAATCCTCAAGACAGTTTGGCAAGATAATTGTTAAATCTTGTGAAGCTGTTTGATAACATAATTCTGAATTTAAGATGGTAAGATTACAAATAACACTTACTATACAAGGTTCTCGGAGATATTATACCACTTAAAGAAGTTTTTTTATTCTTCTGATCCTATTTTTATCAATCTGTTTAATATGCGTATGTTTTTATCCTTTGTTGTACATGTCGTATCCATCTAAATCTAATTCAATCATCTTATTTACAATAAATGTTATTCCAATCTTTTCTGTAATATATTCATTTCACTGTAATATTCCTCACAAGTCTTCAAAGCTTAAATGTATCTTATGTGGACAAAGTTTGTATATTTTTTAGTTAATTCATTTCATTATTTTAATCAAACTTTAATATTCTTCATTATATTATTTGTTTGCCCTATCAAAATAATTTCATCCTTGAAGTTTACATTTAGTAGTTTTATAGAACAATATTTTAATATTTTCTTGTTGTCTTTAACTCTAACTAAGATACTATTTCATTCGTTTATACGGTATATAATTTAATCAAAATTCCCTAAGCCTCTTATCTTTTATCCTTAGATATTTTATTTATCTCATTTTTTCCTTACTTGCTATCATGCTTATTATATAAATTTTAATTGATAATGGAAAAATGGCAGGCCTTGGCGTATTAGAGTGCTAGGTTATAGTGATTGCTTCTTGTTGTTCAAGCATCTTAATTACTCATTAAATTTGTGGAAATTCATTACAGAATGCATTAGCTTCATCCAGATATGCTTTCTTATTGGAATTCAAATAAAATGCCATTTCCTTCCATTTATATTCTATCCTGTTTGGTGGCAGATGAGTGAGAATTGGGATGACAGCATTCAATCCAAAGAGCAAATTGAAGCAGGTCTTTTAAGCAAGCATGAGGCTTCCATTAGAAGAGAAAGAGCACTGGCTTATGCATTCTCTCATCAGGTATTTCTCTTATCCAAACATTCAGTTTTAGGCTTCAACAGGGCGAAACTACTACTTAACTATGCTTTCATCTGTTAAAAATTGTTCATCAACAGTGGAAGAACTCTTCAAAGTCAGTGAATCCTACCTTCATGGACCCAAACAACCCACACTGGGGATGGAGTTGGCTCGAGCGGTGGATGGCAGCAAGGCCCTGGGAGAGCCGGACCACCGCAACTGATAAGGAACTCAACAGCGATCGAGCTTCGATGAAGAGTATCAATGGGGGTGAGATCATTAAATCCTATGCTCGTCGCGAAGCCAGCCTCAATGGAACTGTTGCAGCTTCACCTCAGAAATCAACACACCCTGTCAGCCAACGGTCGCCTGCGACTCCCCCTATCAAGGCCTTCACTGGAGCAAGTAAGATCAAATCTGCGAGCCCAAAAAATAACTGGGCTCCTTTAGATGATGACATAAGAAGTATGATTAGCGCACAGTCAGAGCGGCCGAGGCGGCATAGCATAGCCGGCTCGTCGATCCGGGATGATGAGAGCCTTGCAAGCTCACCAGCCATTCCAAGTTACATGGCACCAACAAGGTCTGCAAGGGCAAAGACTCGCACTCAGAGCCCTTCCACTGACAGCAAGCTTGAGGCCACTCCTGAGAAGGTCTCTGCAGGCTCAGTGAAGAAGAAGTTGTCTTTTCCAAATTCACCTGCTTCTATGAGAAGGCACTCAGGCCCCCCAAGGGTGAATGTTTCTGTGGTTGAGGAGGCAATTGTCAGTCAAGCACACAATGAGGCCATTGCAGAAGAAAGCAGGTTGTAACTACAATAAGGCTTTTCAGGCATCAGAAGAACTGAACCTGATCTAGTTGGATACTATACTGATGCAACAATTTATTCATGTTAAATCATTTATTTTGGACTAGAAATCATTGGGTGGTGAGTTTGTTAGAAGAAGAGATTGGTTTGTTGAAATGGTGTATTTTTTAGCTTTGCTTTGCTCTCTGAACAAAGTTGTTTGTTGTGGATGTGCGAGTATTTTATTCAGTGATTGTATAAACCGAGTTGCTGTTCCTTACCAATGAATTAAATTTATTTTATTATGATTAATGCTAATAGTTCTTTGAGAATATTCTGATTTAAATTTATTTTGTGATGAATATAAGAATTGATCTTATTTAAAATTAAATAAAAAAAATTATGAAAGTTTTGTTGAAATATTTTGTTAGTGTTTTACACACTCAATTGGATTTTTTTCATTTAAATTTATTATGCCTTTTTGCAGCAGCGATCTACTTATCTGTGTGGGGTGGGAGCAATTATTTTATTTTATTTTGGGGAAAGGTGTAAAATTCTTATTCATTGTTAAAAATGTTATACTATCCCTTTATTATCACAAAAATTCTAATAAATAATAAAAATTACAAAATAGTCAATTTCCACAAGCAGTGGCAGCAGCTTTAAGCTTAATTTGGGGTGAAATTTTTGTGTCTGGATATGCACGCTGTTCGGAGTTAAATCAGAGTGGGCCATGTCACTTCTTTATTGTGTACCTGCTGTGTACCAGGTGACGTGGCGTGCTCTGATTTGCCTCTGAACAATCCGATGTCCACAGAAAAATTTCTCTAATTTGGGATAGCTTTTTCACTATCATTCTTTCCTTGCTGTAAGAAAAATTATTACGTGCGATCACCGGATGCCGTCTAGAGGTGAATCAGGATGTGCCACATCACATTTGCTATATACCAGTGCTGTGTACTGGCGTGACATGATGCATCTTGATTCTAAATCACAATTCAAAAGCAAAGATCCTTACCTTTGAGTACCAAGTGAATCCTTCACGCTCCAGTGGTAAGAAATCTCCTTCTAACACTCTCTCACACTCTCTCCTTCAATCTCTCTTCAGTTTGCACGAAGACCAGTGGACAAAAAGATATTAAGAAACAATTTTAAATTGACCTTCTATATGAGAGACACGAAAAACCGTCCAAAAACTGCTAAATTACAAATCTTTGCGTACTTGATCGTCCCGTATGATCGTGATTTCGTCCGTATGAATAGTTTAAAAATTGTTGCGTACGAACCCAATGCGCATTGGTACGAAATAACTTCGTACCCGATAATCATCCCCGTACGAACTAAGTTCTTCCAGTACAAACAGTTATATCAAGGGTTCGTTGGGACTAAATTGCAGGACGGTCCATATGTTTAAGCAATAGAGGACATCATCCTGGGACGAATGTACAAGTTTGTCTAGAAGAACCGAACAAGGCATGAGTCTAGAGAACATCGTCCTGGGACGAACTAGGTAAATCGTCTAGACGAATAGTTCAAGTCATGGGTCCATAGAACATCGTCTTGGGACGAACTGGGTAAATCGTCTGGATGAATAGTTCAAGTCATGGGTCCAGAGAACATCGTCCAGGGACGAACTAGGTAAATCGTCTGGACGAACAGTTCAAAGTGAGAAAACAGAGAACATCGTCCAGGGATGAATGAGATATTTCGTCCAGACGACCAGGACTTAGAAAAATTTTCTTCACTTTCTGTTCGTTCCATTTCTCCGAGGGGTATAACTGACCTGATCGTCCCGTACGAACTTGGTTCGTCCCGTACGATCAGTATAAGAAAATTTTGATTTTTAAAGATCTCCCCCAGTGTGTGCTAAATTACTCAATTACAATTACACTCTCTCATATTCAATAAAGATAAAAATACAGACTTCAATTTACAAAATATCTTATGCTAGAATTTGATTGAAGTCTTCATTAGTCTGGAGTACGATTGTCCTGAAATGTTAGTCTACATTAGAGCAAAAATAATTCTTCCAAAAAGTGTTAGGAGAAAATAATAATTAAAACAATAATATTTGGAATCATCAAAACTATACAAGTTGCAAGAATGTTAAACATGCAAAAGCTAAATAGCAACTCTCTTAACATCTATCCCCCATGGCACCATCACTAGAAGAGCATTCATGAGCAGATCAGCAGAATGACTAGGTTTTCCATATTTGAAGCAGTCTCCATTGCCAAAATCTCCCCCTCCACCAGAGTTATGGCCATCAAGATTCTGATTCCGGTCCCAATCATAGTCACATCCTCCATCACGATCCCTACCGAAACGGGAAGAGCTTTATCTATAATGATAGACCACCCATCAAGACTGACTCCATTCATTTTGTTAATGGCATCTTCCATTGTTCTGTTTTTATGAAATGTGACAAAACCAAATCCACATGATCGGCAGAAAGCCTACATACAGCCAAAGGTCATCTAGTAATATTACATTTAAGATCATCGCTTACAAAAGAACATCATGTATGCAGATCTTAAAGCAGGATAATAAGATAATTTTATGGCCAACAGTCAACAAAGAAAGACTATCATCATCAGAAGGCTTTTGACATTAGCAGCTTCGACTTCCTACCTTCCCATTGAGCTTACCGTCTAACCGAACCAAGGATTTCGCCTCCTGTTTCCGACAGATGAAAGAAATCCCATTCATAAGAAAGTCTTTCATCCGTCCAACGTAACTGGATCGACCCCGACAATCTCGACATGCAAGCACCGCCTTCGTCGACCAGTCTCCTGCACGTAGACCTTGCCTCCGCTTGGACTTGCCGCCGGCCTAAATGCCAACTAGCCGCCCACGAGCCATCCGCCTTTGATTTCTTTAAATGAACAACCTGAACCTTCCTCAATCACCTCAATGAGGCTCTGAATCATTTTCTTCTAATATGCTCTTATACTAAATGTTAGGAAGAAGCACTTCCTTCTTGAGAGGAAGAAGCACTTCCTTCTTGAGCTTCTTGAGAGAGGAGGGAGAGAGGGAAGGGGAGAGGGAGAGAGAGCTGAACTCAAATTCTTATTTCTTTAACCCCAATCTCTATTACAACCTATAGCCTCTATTTAAAGACTCAAATGCTATACCAATGGCAATACAAGCCATTCAAGAAAACTAAAGAAAGCACACATGAAAAACTACTTTATATAAAATTATTTGTAAAAATAAATATAAAATTAATTTTGTGAAATGGTTATTAATTAAATAGTTTCTTAATTCTTGTGAGTACTATAACTTTTTTCCTTAAATACTTTTTTTAATAATTATATTATTCTAATAAATCTAATCATAAAAAATTAGTCCTCACAATTTCATATAAATTTTTTTAAAAGATATGCCAAATATTATAACTTTATTCTTACAAATTAGGTTATCTTTTAATTATGCAATGCTTTCATAATTTAAAATAATGATACTCTTATTTTTCACTCAAAAAACTAACAAATTATATATTAACCTCAAATTTAAATTCAAATAATGTAACTTCTTCGAAATTTAATAAGCTCTTCCAACATATCTTCTAATAAAATTGCTCTTCCTAATTACTCATTTTTAAGTGTGGATTATGTTAAATAAATAAATAATTAGAGAAGTTAGATTTTAAAATTCTTGCCGACAAAAATTAGAGCCTTCATAATTGGGGGCTTTTAATTTGGCTAAAATTATTTGAAGATGCAATGGGCTCTACACATACAGTGAGTGACTCATTTGGCTAACTATTTGGCCTGTTTAGAATTGGCCATAGGAGTACTTATTTTTTGAGCATTGCATTGTTATTCATTAAAGATATTTGATATTTAGCTGAAGGGAGATTAGCTTTTTAAGGGATTAGGTTTTGTTGACAATAATGTCTTTTCAAGCACTAAAGTTTTTAGGATTTGAAGAAATCATTCTTAAGCTAAATTTATGTGGCCTAATTTGTTGTGCTAATCAAATTGATTGAGCAAAATGATAGCATTGTTGATAATTATAACATTGATCTTATTAATTGAAACAAAATTTACGTAAAGATATTGTGACATAATAATCGTTATTGGGCTTAGGAGTTTTTGGATTTGTTTTAAAATTAGTGTGCACTATTATATATTAGCGCTAATTTTAACATAAATTCAAGGATGCCTAAAATAACACAAATAGCAAAAAAAATTTCTAATTTCTGCCACACAATCATGCCGTAAGTTTCAAGTGCGGTCATCCAGTTATTTTAATGTAACGATCTTCGACCCTTTATGTTTATTTTTGATGAATTTGAATTACTTTTGGTTGAAGTTGATTTGAAATTTATTAATATTTTTGTTTTAAATGTTTGAACCATTTCACCCAAATTTAAGATTTTTCGTTGAAACTAATAAAATTTGCTTGAAAATTTACATTTTTTTTGTTTAAAAATTAACGGACAGCTGTTGGACTTGCACACACAATTCATACGCATGACTCGAATCCAAAAACTCTTAGTTGGTAGCCAAAAAAATTCAACCAACAGACCAAAAAGAGCTATGTAATTTACTAAAATATTAAAATAGTTGTCAAAATTTAGTATACTAATTGTTGTTCTCTCTTTTCCTTTTCAGCCATAAATAAAAAATAAAAGTAAATGATCTTTTCATTTAGGGGCTATTTAATTACAATTATTTGAAAATTAGATGAAATAAAATGTAATATAATATAAAATTTATATGATTGAAATACTTTACCTTGTTTGATTCTTCAAAAATAAATTTAGGAGCTTTATTTTGTATTTATTTCCTTGCAATGTAAAATTAATACTTATCAATGATGGTGGCCGAGGGCTGCATTTGTTGCTTTCTGGTTGTGCACAAGGAGATAACGGCAGTGGTGCTAGTGGTGGTAGATGCTCACCAGCTATAGGCGGCGGTTGTTGATGATCGCAATTAGGAAATGTGCGGTGTTGTATTTGCAAATCGCTCGAATTTAAGAATTTTTTTTTAATCAAAATTGAACTAACTTGAATAGGATTTAGTAGTGCCCCATTGATGAACTTCTGATGTTATAATCCCTTCGAATTCTGTTTGTCTGGTTTGGCTGTCTGTAAGCATTCATGATGAATAAGAATGACAGTGTGTTTGCACTTTGAGAATCAGTGAAGTATTTTTTTGTTTCCTATTTTCTGAAAAAAGAAGTAAGGTTTTGTGGATTCAGAAATGAGTGATTTGACCTGACCCACTACCGATGTGATGGTTCACTGCAGAGTAGTGAAAAAAAGTGTAATTTTTTTTATTTACTGTTAATTTTCAATGAAAATT